GGCTACAGCACGGCGGAGGGCAGGATTTTGAGCAGAGTGCCTGCTCGTAGGTTTCTCTTTGTTCTGGTTTATGCCCATGTGGTCTCTCCTACTTCATTCCCTTTCTTTATAGACTTACTAGAACTCAGTTATGGGGGCCCTGACTTTAATTACACCCAAAGTCCCCACTTTGGGACACCATGTATGGATTAAATTTTCAGTTAATATCTTTATAATACAACCAAGTTCCAAAACATGAACTTTTGGGGGATATCTCATCCCTGCCCATTAAGACCTAATTCCAAAACATGAACCTCTGGGGAACAAACCATTATCCAAACTGTAGTAAGAAGGTTTGTGGGATTGACCACACTATCTCTGAGGCTTACGCTATACCTCTGGCCTTCTCTTCTTTCCTGAAGAGCTTTTAGCAAGTGAAGTGTAATAAAAATTACGGAAGGATTTCTTCTTCCTCCTCCTTTTCTTCCTCCTCCTTTTCATCCTTCTCCTTTATCTCTTCAATCATCCAACAAACATGTGTTCAAAATCTAGTAAGTTTTGAGGGCAGTGTGAAATAACATGCAACACAGCAAGGAAAACAGAAAAAAAATTTCTCACTAGCTAGATGAGTTCGTGGTAAGGTGATCATATGATTTGTCACCCAAGCTAGGACACTTGGAACTGACAGAGGGTACCCTTATAATCATACTACTAAGAAACAGGAATAATTATAGGGACTGTCACGGGTTAAGTGGGACGAAGGGTCACCTAGTTCTCTGTGACTCTTCCAGCACTAATTGTACATGCCTGTCAAGATGTGCTATCTTTGTTCTCTAGGATAATACTAATGTCAAGGTTGTCATGATAACAACAACAAAGGTTAACAATAACAAAAATTCTGTATGATACATACATTTATCTGATTTGGAGTTCACAATGACAATGGTCCTATTCTAAACAGGCCCACTGTCCTGGATGAAAAACTGAATCAAGATCACACCAATACTACAAGATAGGGTAGGGATTAACATCAGGCAATTCTCCCCGAGAATTTTACCTCCCACTTTACCCTGATTGTCATCAATGTCAATTCTGTGCAAGCGTTCTTACCATTACATGCTTCAGAATCTACTCGTTAGCAGACTTTGCTGCCTCTACCTCTAGGCCTACTCTATAGACATACCTGCTCTCCCCCCCTTAACTGAAAAATACCTTAACAAGGAACTGAGCAAAGCCAGGTAGATTAAGACATGGATTTGGGCCACTTGTAGGTAGCTCAAAGAGAAATCAATGAAAAGAGGACTCTTGTTCAGCCAGAAGTGTACCCCATGATCTGCAAGTTATAGATACATTATCATCCCAAGGAGTGGACACCTACTAGTGAAAGAGGGGTCTCTGTGGAAATGAGTCCATTTTCATGAACCCTAATTGTTTATAAGCCTTTGAGGTCTCTATAATCTCAGAGGCACTCTGTTCCATGATAACTTATAATGGGTAGTACGAGAGCTCTACAGTTATCAAAAGCTACTTAATAATCAACACATTTGTCTCTTGTACCCATACCTGAATTTTTCATCTCTCTTTAAACCTCCTTGGTATTTAAATAGCTAATCTAGTCCTAGTGGCTGGATTAATAACAAATCTCTAAATGACTTCATAGCGACCTTCACAATTCTATTTATTTTGGATTTCCCTTTGTGTTCCTTTATATGAACTTACTTGGCCCTTGCTAATAATTAAAATAATCCACCAAAGTCAGTAGATAAGAATTTCAGCGAATCCAAGTCTTTTGACACTAGCTTGCTCCCAAAGTATAAAACTGAGAAAAGTATTTTTAAAAACTACATATACATATATAGGGCAATCTGTCTCTCTTTTCTCTCAAAAGCGAGAAAATGTTTAATTTTGTGTAATGTGATTACAAAAAGTTGCAAAGAGCATTTTTTCTTCCATATTTTCAGCATTGACTTTGCATTAATTTAAAAAATAAACTTAATGGGAGCCAGCAGTTAGTGTAATGGCTAGGTCGCTGGACTCCCACACAGTTGACCGCAGTTCACGTCCCGGACCCAGTGGCTTAGAACTCACACCGGGCGCGTGTGCGTGCTTGTGTGCCCAAGATCCCGAGAGAAGAATGGAGGAGAAAGGATTGTGGCGTGACCATCCCCCCTGAGGGGTGATTTCTCGCTTTCTGTCTCTATGTCTCTCTCTGTCTGTCTGGCGAGCGCACGCGCCCTATAGCGAAAACCTCTCCAAAAAATAAAAATAAATAAAAATAAAAAAATACTTAATTACATAAAATTAAAGCAATGTGAAAAAATATGTAAAATAAAAATTTGAAAGTGCTTATTAAGACTGTCATTAAAAGTGAAAGATTCTATGTGTTATAGGCAGAATCATGTTATTTTGAAAGTCAATGTCAATGTGATCCCAAATGATATAAAATAATAAATCTATAAAATAAATCATCTTCTGTGATACAGAGGATCAGTTGCCAAGATGGAATAGACTTTAGTAGTATTGGTTTTCTTTTCTTTTTTTTTTTTTTAAAGAATTATTTAATTTAATTTAATTTATTTATTTTAATTTGACCAGGGAGAGAGAGAGAGAGAAAGCAAGCTGCCAGGTCTGGGACTTGAACTGCAGTCGGCCATGTGGGAGTCCAGCGTCCTTAACCACTGCACCACCTGCTGGCCCCAGTAGTATTGGTTTTCTACAAGGACACTATCCAGGGTCAACTCTCAACCAGTCAACCAGTCAACAGCCTTGTCTGTGACTATACCAGATCATGTTAGTTGCTCATCTTTTGGCTTAGTTCAAAGGGAGATTTTTCTAGAGATACTAGCCATCCCACAACCAGGACATTTCTATAAAATTTCCAGAGTTATGAAATCTTATTATGCACATATATGCCTTCTTTGTGAAGGAAGAGATTTGGAGACAGCTCGTTATTAAAAGTTTGTATATATAATTAACCTCACGTATTTTCAACAAGTGCACATTAACTTAGATCCCTTCAATGGTTTATAGGTCCTCAATTCCTTATATACACTCTGAAATTCAGAAAGCTGTGCATACTGCAAATTTGGGGGTGGGGGAGACTCATCTGGAAGTAAAGCCAGACTGGCCTGAACTCATTTGGTGGCAAGCCTACACTGAGGGACCTTGAAGCTATGTAAGGTGGGTGTTTATTTCACTTAATGGGATATTCATTAGCGTCGCTGCAGAGATATCAATGTGCCTTATGTTAGGCTGGCGTACCATGTTACATAGTACACAGAATGAATACTCAGTCGTCTTTCCACGTTCTCAAACATCTGGGTTCCTGAGGTTTGCATAAGGGATTATAAACCCATACTGTGTTTGCTGCTTGAGGTGGAGTGTGCTGGCTTCATCTTTTTACAAGAGATAAGGGTGAGGGTAGTTTCTTGGACTGGTAAATGCAGCATGATTCTTTTTCTAGGTACCTGGAACTTTTGCAGAGCAAGCTCCCTGTCTGATGTGTCCCCTATAGCTCATCTGTGTGGGTGCCACACTTAGAGTAGACGCTGCTTTGAGGTTACAAAGCTTCTGGCCCATCCTTCCCTTGAAGTACATAACATTGGAGAAGGGTGTCTCTTGGCTCTCCTCCTGTCGTTCATCAGAAATGGACAATGGGAATTAAAAGGAGACATTCTGGTGGCGGTTAAATGTGTGACGACTCCAGCCATATCAAAGACACTCCTGGCCCTTTCCGTAAAAACAGGATCTTCCGAAGGCATGACGGAATGAAGCATTTCAGGACAGTATCAAACAGTTCAAATCAGAAAAAAAAGCTCCATTATCTTCACCTGGTGCTGTCTTAGTCCCATACCTGTGACCACAAAGTTTAGCCTTGTTCGTTGTAAGCTTATTACATAATTTCCATCATAATGTCCCCTTTTAAGGAGAAAGTATATGGTCTATGATCCTGGGAGATTCCTAACCCAATGAATTCCATAGTTACCTTCTTCCACATTTTGGGTTTTCTTCTCACCACCCTTAATTCCCCAAATAATTATGAGGCTGAAGCACTGTCATGAATTTAGAAAACCTAGGAGAACTCACAATATTTGTACTCCTAGAGTCCCCTGGAATCTCCCAGAAGAACCATGTAGAAACCGAAAGGCAGCCAGCGTGGCCCGGGCTCCTGTTCTCAGGATTTGTATCCTTGCTCTTGGACACCGAGGCGCGATGTGGGCACCTTTATTTGGATATCAGAGGAAGTAATGCTTCACTCCTGGAGCCAGGTGGGGATTAGGTGTTGGGGTGTCTGAGTGTGTGTTTGCGGGGTGATTTAAATGGCTCTGAAACTTGAAGTTGTAAACACCCAAGCGGCCAGCAGAACCAGAATCTTTTCCTTAATATCCACAAGGTCCACAAGAAGGGCTGTCATTGGCTAGGCTCTCAGGCCACCCAGATATGGGGGTGGAGTGGGGTAGGGGACTTGGGCAAGAAGGGAAGACAAACCCCGCCCAGCCCCAGGGGTATAGAGTTGGCACCAAGGACTTGTGAGCAATCCCAGGACAGCCAAGACAGCGGACCAGGCTCTTCAAGGCGTTCAGGAACGGCGGAGCCCTCTCCAGCCGGGCTTTGCCCTCGGGTCAGGGTTTCGAGACTGGGGTCCGGGTGGAAAGCAGATGTGGAGTCAAGAGAAGCGCGAGCAGTAGAGGGAGTGCAGAGTGCCCAAGTGAGGCGTGAGGCGTTTGGGGGTCCAGTGGATTTTGCTCCGCACGTCCAGCGCACAGCCCTGGCGCGCCAGCTAAACTGCTCTGGGAGCTCTGAGTGAAGCGCCTCCCCCAGAGGGAGCTCTTTGCGCCCCTGCACGTCGCCCCGCGCCACCAGCCCCGGCAGCACCGTCAAGGAGGGGTCTTTGGGGAAGGGCAGGGATCTGCGGCCATGGCTGACGCAGCGGAGTCGGAGAGGGGCGCCCTGAGTTTCCAGGGGCTGCCCGAGAGCCCGGCCCTTCTGGTGGACAGACCCAGGCCGGAGGAGGAAGGCTAGTGAGGGCGCCGCGGAGGAGCCGAGGGGCGAGGGGACAGGAGCACCTGCTACCGCCGCAGTGAAAGAGGAAGCGGACGGCGACCCTGGGTCCGGGCGCGCAGGTCAGCCGGAGCCGAGCGCGGGCAGTGCCCTGGGGGCTGAGGCGTGCGACGTCAGGGGAGCTCAGTGCGAGGAGGCGGCGGAGGAGGGCGCCCTGGAGGACGCCGAGGTCCCCGGGGCAGGGGAGGAGGAGCGCAGCGCAGCGCAGGTGGAGGAGCCGAGCCTCGGGCCCCCAATGCAGGGCGAGGTCCCAGAGGAGCCTCGAGAGGATCCCGGGGACCCGGCGGGCGTGGAGGTGCGAGGGGAGGAGGAGCACAGACCCGACGCGGAGGGAGGCAGCGCCAGGGCGGCAGGAGACAGGACAGGCTCCGAGGGGTCCGCGGACGCCAGCATGGACACCGAGGGGCTCGTGGGAGATAGGATGGACGTGGATGGGCAAGCGGGAGGGGCGCACGGCCGGGAGGGTGAGCCCCAGAAAGGGGGAGACCAGAACCTCCAGCCCCAGGCCGAGGCGACTGGGGTCGCAGCAGCGGAGAGAGAGGGGCGCAGCGGGGAGCAGCCGGAGCAGGGCGCAGTGGAGGGCGCAGCGGAGGAGGCAGGAGCTGGGAGTACAGAGGGGTCAGAGGAAGGGGCCCCTGGGGCCGCGAGGGTAGACACTGGCAAGGACGGGGACCAGGACGGGTTCCGGGAAGAGATGGAGGAGGAAGAGGAGAAGCAAGAGCGGGTCCTAGAGGGGCAGAACGAGGCGGCCTCAGCCGGGGGCGTGGAGGAGCTCCCCGAGGACAGTGTCGCTGGGGATGCGGCCGAGTCCAGGGAGGCGGCGGAGCCGGAGGCGGAACTCAGCAACCACCTGGCGGAGGAAGGCGGCAGGGAGTCGGTGCGAATGAACGGCCGGGAGGACGGCGAGGCGTCCGAGGAGAGGGCTCTGGGGCAGGAGCACGACATCACCCTCTTCGTCAAGGTGAGTGCCCCTTCCCTGAGCTCTTAGATCTCCCTCTCATCCTTAGTCTTGGGCTCCTGGGGTCAGAGAGAGCCCGCAGAGAGAGCCATCGGTGGGTGTCCTGATTTGTTACCAGGTGCTTCCTTGCCCAGGAGGGAGGCGGGGCAGTCCGGGTTTTATGGAGAAGAGTTTAGGAATCCTTTTGGGGGAGGCCTTGGCTATTTGGAAGCAAAGGGTGGGCGCGTGAGAAGTGAGGGTGTGAGTTGCGGGGCGGGTGTGGAGGGGGACGCAGCTGTCCACTGTCCTTTGTCCTGAAAATCCTAACTGGCCCTCCCGTCAGGAGGTTATTAAAGAATTAACTTAGGGAGGAAAAAAAAGCAGTGTGCCATGTTGGTGTTCAAAGAATTTCCACCAAAGAAAGTTCTAATTCTTGAAGTGAAAGATGTGAACAGGTTGGCTCCGCGTTCACATCCTAGACGCCAGGAACTGGCCAGTGCGTTCATTTCCTTTTGGTGGAACCGGTCGTGTATGTTTGAGAGGAAAACAGAAACTTATTTACATGTCATAACGTTTATTGAACGTTTCTACATTTATTTTGGAAGAGTACAAAGTGCTGGCGACTTCGGTATCATTTTATGTGTGTCACATTCAGCTGCACTTCAAACTGTAAGAGAGCATTTTGTGAAGGCATCTGTACAGACATGACTGAGAACGCTTTAAGTTTAAGTAGGCATTTTTACAAGGCATCCAAAATAGAGGCACAAAGTCCAGCAGCCGCTCACACCAGGAGCTTTGTTTAAAAAAAAAAAAGCCATTTCCAAAGACCTTTGACCAGACCCAGAAAAGCTGGAGATAATAAGGTCAAGAATGCGCATTGCATGTTGAAGCATAATCCTTCAGAAATATTTTCAGGCTTATAGAAGCCAGTTATGGCCTAAACCTCCTTGGCTGAAATGTAAGCACACTCTAATAAGTAAAAAAGAAATGCTCCCAAAGTGATTACCGTCAGCATTTTAAGCATTGTTTGGGTGGAAAGACTTGGAGAAGAACAAGAATGTGCTTCTTCACTAAGTGAGAGGTACTGTTTCCTGCATTTTTTATTAAGATGCTGGAACATTGTAAAATTATTTATGGTCACATAACCTGAGGGCACAACCCCGGGGAGTCACGTGCTGCTGTGTGGCCTCGAATCTGCTCCTCTGTGGTACGTTGCTTTGGAGAATTCTCCTTGATCTGACAGCATGGGTACATGACTTTGGCGAGTACCTCTTATTATAATTTTGAAATACAGTACCAGCTCCCTGCACAGTACTCCACTTAGTCCCTCAACGAGCCAGGAAGCAGATCTGAACATTTGTTTCTCATTGCAAAATTCTTCAGAAGTTTATTGCATTATTTCAGGTAAATCCACTCTCCTTAGCCAGGCCACAAAACCCTTCATGAAGCTATTCCTGCCTTTTGTCTTTCCAACTGTCTCTTGGCATTACTGGGCGTCCCCATCCTTTGTCACTGATGGTATTGCTATAGCAGCCATATTAAGCTACTTTCTGTTCCTTGAGAGAACCAATTCTTCCCTGCTTTGAAAGTTTGCCTGTGCTGTACCCTCTGCTGGAATGAAGTTTCTCTTTGTTGCCCTGTCCCTGCTCCTCGTCTGGCTTTCTGCTACATGTCTGAGATTCAGTGTGGTGTTATCTCCTCCGGGGAAACTTTCTAAGCCCAGTCTGGGTTGGGTGTCCCTCTGTAAGCTCCACTCACACATGGCACTGCCTTCTGCGTGCTTTGACTCTTCCCTCGACTGTGTGAAATTTATCAGTATATCTCTGGTGTGGAGCAGAGGTGTGAAATGTGGTGAAGACTGGCTGCCTATATGGTGTAGGACAGTGTGGTGCTTGAGAACATAGACTTTAAAGCCAGTGGGTGTGGGATCAAATCCTGCCTATACTCCTTTCTTGTGTGAACTTGGGGAGAGTTACTTGCTCTTTCTGTGCTTTTATTGTTATATTGCTAAAGTGGGGACCATGATAGTATTCTGAGGATTCAGGAATTTGATGAATACAACACTTAGAACAATGTCTAGCTAACAATAACCGTGGTAGGAGCAGGAGTTCTTGTTACATCTGCTCAGCTCCCAAAAGCTTTCACTGATTCTGCACGTAATCAATTGCCTCCCTGTAGCCCCTTCACCATTTTTTTAAAAATAATTAAGTTATCTATTTATTTATTATTTTTAAAAATTTGACCAGAGAGGGAGAGAGAGAGGGAGAGAGAGAGAAAGTGAGAAAGCAAGCCACCAGCTCCAGGATTCAAATGGGGTCAGCCATGCAGGAGTCCAGTGCCCTTAACCACCATGCCACCTGCCGGCCTCTTCCCCCACCATTAAAATTTTTTCCTTAGGAAAAGTTCTTCTAGGTACACAGTTAGCTCCACTCTCTGGGCATAAGAATGCTATTAAAAGTCAAGAACGTTTTCTAAGATATGTGTGGGCATGGTTTGTGAAGGCAGAGGCAAGGGGCATGCCACCAGCAGCTCTCCATGCTGTCTTACTCTCATTTCAGACCGGTGCTCACTTGTTAACCTTTCCTTTTTACATTAAAGAAACAATCAGATCTCCAGACAATGCGATTGGTTAACTTCTGAGGGTCACTTAAGACAGGCCTAACAGGACTGATAATGCATTTCAGTTTCTCCTTAACCTACTTTTCATTCTCTGAACAATAAACAAAAAAAAACAAGCAAAAAGCTCCTAGACTCTTACATCTTCTAAGTTTGTAATGCATGATCTAAAAATCCTTAAATCTGGTTCTCTGACAGATTTAGCCTTTCCTAAGGTCTTCTTTTGACTCCATTTTACTTGGGTTTTGTATCCGCAGTGGACATCTGACCTGAGTTTTGTAAACATGTCAAGGCAAGAACTCATGATGTGTTTCCTATGGTATAGCTGGAATGTAGAATTCATGAAGTTGCGGGGCTGGCAGATGGTGTGGTGGTTAAGGGCGCTGAATTCCCACATGGCTGACTGTGGTTCAAGTCCTGAACCTGGTGGCTTGCTTCCTCTCTCTCTCTCTCTCTTTCTCTCTCTCTCTCCCCCTCTCTGTTCAAATTTAAAGAAATAGATAAATAAAGTTAAATAAAAGAATTCTTTAAAAAAAAAAGGAATCCATGAAGATTCTCTTTTTTTTTTTTGGAGAAGTTTTTGCTATATGGCGCGTGCGCTCGCCAGACAGACAGAGAGAGACAGAAAGACAGAAAGTTAGAAATCACCCCCCAGGGGGGATGGCCACGCCACAATCCCTTCTCCTCCATTCTCCTCTCGGGATCTTGGGCATGCACGCACACGCACCCGGCGTGAGTTTTAAGCCATTGGGTCCGGGACTCTAACTGCGGTTGACTATGTGGGAGTCCAGCGACATAGCCATTACACTAACTGCTGGTCCCCATGAAGCTGCTCTTTAAGGAGAAAACAGCAAGATTCTTCCAAATGCTCCTCTTGTCTTTCTATAAGACCCTTGTAAGCACATTTCAAAATTATTAGTATACATTCCATTGGTGAACTTTTAACATTTATATTTCTTCCTATTTTTTAAAAATAAATCAGTTAAAATTTACTAGAAAGTCATCACTTGCTACCTCACAACAAATATTTATACTTGCCTCAAATTTCCCAATTTTAACTGCTTCATAGATTATATTCCCATTACTGTGAGAACTGTTATGTTGTTAACATGTCGTTTTACTTCATTCTATAAGTGTGCAAAGATGTATTCTTGTAAAAGAGACAGGCAGAAGGGCCAGCATGTGGTTTGGTAGTTAAGGCATTGGATCCTACATGGCTGACTACAGTTCAAGTCCTGGATCCAGTACTTGAAAGTCACATAGGGTGTGCACATCGTGTGTGTGTGCCCAAAATCCCAAGAGGAGAATGGAGGAGAAGGGATTGTGGCGTGCCTCCTCCCTCCCACTCCCCGGGAGGTGATTTCTCACTTTTCCTCTCTCTCTCTTTCTTTGGTGAGTGCACATGCCCTATGACAAAAACCTAAAGAATAGATCTTAATTTTTTTGTGTGGTAAATTTATTGCTTATTATGCTAATGTTTAGTTTTATTTTTTTTTTCAAAGAAGTGTTCATTCTTTGTCATCAAATTATAGGATAACTCTGCAATATATTTAGTAAGAAAGATTCTTTTTTCCATTACCCCTAACGACAAAGGGTAACATACTAATACAAAAACATAACTACAAACAAAATGCTAACAAAGGATAAAGTAAGGACTTCAGCAGCTGTAGGGATTTAGTTACGAAGGAGTCTCACTTAAGCTGTATTTTCTTTAATTTAGCATGTATACTTTGAGGCAGGGTCCTGGGCTTGGACAACCCAAAGTATAGATTTCCTGTGAAACTTCATATCATCTAAAAATCTTCAATGTGACCAGGAAATAATCATGGGCCAGGGTCTAAGAATTTCTTTTCTTTTTCTTTTATATCTCATTATTCTTTTTTTTAAAAAAATTTGCTGCATGGGTGCTCACCAAAGAGAAACAGAGAGAGAAGAAAAGTGACAAAGCAAGTTGCCAGGTCCAGGACTTGAACCACAAATTGGACATGTGGGAGTCCAGCACTTTACCCACCACACCACCTGCTGGCAGAAGTCTAAGAACTTCTTTCTTTTTTTTTTTTTTGGTTACCCAACACAATAACCTATTAATTCAGTTGTTTAAATTGTTTCAACTTTTAAAAAAAGTGTATATATTCACATCAGGGTGCATGGTCACATTCATCATCCTGAGTCATTCATATAATGTTCCTCAATACACTTTCCACTAATAGAACCAGCAAGTGGTGTGGAGGTTGAGGTGCTGTATCCCACATGGCAGGCTGTGTGGTTCAAATCCCAGGCCCTGTGGCTTGAAAATCACATTGGGCACATGCATGCATGGCCAAAATCCCTAGAGGAGAATGGAGAAGGGATTGCAGCTGACCATCCCCTGGAGGATGATTTCTCACTTTCCCTCTCACTCATTTTCT